CCCAAGCCATTTTGTGATTCTGTGAAAACTGGCTGACTCGCCCATTTTGTAGATGGTACAGGCCTTTTAATTTTCACAAAGGTTTTTCATGGGGTGGGCTTTTTGTCTTCTACAGTCTTGTGAAACACCTTCTCAACAGCATTGGTGTAAAGTTTCTTTCTTAAGCTATTTTTTTTTATATTTTATATTTTTATATCTTTATTAGCCATACACAAGTTTAAAAATCTGCCTAAACAGAAAGAATACAGTTTTCTGTTTTGTTGCATTGGATTCTGCCTTTCTTTGGTGGTGAAAGAGCCAGAGTTTTTAGACCAAATAAAATTGGAATGTTCTTGATACAAACCTTCTTGTCTGTACTGTTTGACCATCCAAAATGGCAACATCTTGCTTGCTTAAAACTAAATTTAAACTAATTTGAGACATGGCAATTAAACAACTTAAGATCAAAGTATCCATGATGTCAGTCAGTGAAAAACTTGAAAGGAATCCTTGGAAAAGTCTTGAAGTCTTATGGATGTTACTGCTTCAGGTTTCATGCTAGTGCCTCTAGATATGTCAGTGCTTGGCTTTTCTACTGAACTACAGTGATGCTTATCGACTTACTGACTGTCCCAGCAATGGTGGTGTTTGGGAATTGTACATCATCTACTTCTAAATGCCTGTGCATAATTACCCTTTCCATAGGCTTGTAAGTTCACATCAAATACTGTATTTTTAGGTGAAAGCTTTTCAGATGGTTTTTATGTAAGACTAACACGTTCACTCTTAGGAGAGAACTGAGAAGTAGGCCTGTCTCTATGAATCTCTGTTTTCCCAGGTGTCTGAGGTATTTTGGAAGCTTGGGGTTTCTCTGAGGTTTCTGAATGACATAATTGAAACTGATCAGTGTCTTGTTAATTTTCCTCTCTGTTGTCTTGTGTGCATAGCCAAGGTCTTTGTACTCATTTTCCCCTCAGAGGCCACAGCTTCAGCTTTTGCTTTGGGAATGCTGGTGGGATCTGCATTATCCTGGGCTCAGATGTTTTGTTGTCACAGATAAATTTCCATGTACTGTCATTCTCTGTTAAAGTGAACTTAACGTTGCTACATGTCTGATCCAGCAGTAGACTTAAACCAAACCAAAATCCATCATTGTGGAAAGGCAGATATTTTACTTACGTACAGAAACAATGTTTCTCTGAAAATTGTGTGTATGTTGTTCTTGTGGTATGTTACAGCTGGTCTTGTGCCACTTAGTAAAAAATCTGGGTGTATATGGAGTCCTGAAGGGTCAGAGAGAGCCTGCTGCCTCCTCTTTTTTCTCTGTAGCTGCCTGATGCATTCAAGATGGGGCTTTTGCTGTCTTTTGGAGTAGTAATAATTAGATAAATCAAGCTAAAGCTTAAATTTTGCAATGAGATCTTAGGTCTCTGTACCTACTGGAGAAAGTTTTTGTCAGTGGACAAACAGGGATTCTCCTTCCTGCCCCTTATGCTGTCACTCTTTGCTTCAGCTTGCTGTATAAAACTAGAAATAATGTCTTGGCTCTCTTGAAGTGCCTGCGAGAAACTGAGAAAAGATGAATTTGATTGAGTAATTTGTTGTAGTGAAGTGCAGAGAGGCCCTGTCAAAGGCTCAGGGTTATGTTGTACCAGGCACTGTAAGACATTCCTTACCCAGAGTTCTAGATGCAGTCTGTTGGATTTAATTTGACACAGGTCTTGTTATACCAGTTTCCAACTTGTTCTTGGGTTACACCTTCTGTTATTACTTTTCCATAGTGTCAAAAATGGAAGTAAATGCAGAGAAATGAGGCAGCTATTTCTACCATTTCATGGTTCTTTCTGTAGAATTCATTTAGTATCTGCCATAAATGAAGTTATACTGCATTAGGGGGGAAAGGAAAACAACCACCAGCAATCCTTTTTGATTGTGTTTTTTGTTGCCCGTGCTGTATTCACATGACAAAACTTTTTTTTTTTTTTTTGCTTCAAGCAGGCAAATCAACAGGCTGGGAAGATGGTGGCTGGGGAGCCTGGGATGAAGCAGAATTACAAGAACCTGTAAGTTCATATATATGAGTTTTCATTGCTAACTTGCCAACTGAAAAAGACTTTTCCACTTGTGTGTGTGTGGTTTTTTTCCTCCTATATAGTTATCACCTGGGCAAGAAGGATCTTGACCAGTGTTTTATATGTGACTGCTTGTTTGTCCCTTGGTCCTGTAATTGTTTCTAAATCTAGCTTGGATGTAACCCATTGTGGTAATTACGCACTGTATTCTGTAGGGTTTTTTTCTAACCAGATTATATACACTTCCTTCTATGCTGCTGCAGTGGGGATATCTTTTTTGCCCTATAGCTAGCCAGAAACAGTAGGGCATGGCAGTGGAGTTATAATAATCTACCATGAATTAATAGAACTCAGAGACTCCTAAATTGTGAGGCACTGACACAAGCATCTTTCTAATGGTTACGTAGTACTCCTTTTATGTTGTGTTGTGCAGATGGTGTTACAGGAGGGATCATATTACATATGCAGGATTGCACATACCTAGGGACAGCACTTTAAAGTTGCTCTTTAAAGGGGGAAAAACATCCCTTTGTCCAACTTGTTCAACTCAGAATAACATGGCCAGTCTATAATTGCTGGTAAGGCTGAGACTTGTGACTGCCAGTTGACTTGCAGAAAATGCTAGGGAAGCTGTCTGTGTAGAAACCCTCTGCACCTGGATGAATCATCTGAACAGAATTGCTGATTCATTCCCTGTTAGAGAGCGCTGAAGGAGTAGACTGAGGAATCCAGAGCTCACCTTGCTAACAAAACTCTTATCTGCTATCTCCATGTCAGTATGCAGGAAGTATGCCCAAGGAGTTGGGCAGTGTCCTTGTAACTACTTACTTCAGCAGGGACACAGATATTTTTTTTTTTTTTTTCCTTCCCAGCTGAGGTGAGAAACAAATTGAAACGAGCATGGTGTCTCCCAGGGATGAATCACCCATGCTGATGTTAGGGAATAAGAAGAGTATAAAAACTTTTAAATAGGAGCGTATTCAGCTCCCCATAATTGCCATGAAATGAGTGTGTTTCTCAGGCTACATCTCTAAGATGTGCTGTAAAGTTTATAACCTCCTTAATGAAGAGAACAAATGCTTTGTTTACTGGTTATGTTGTAATTTGGAAGAACCAGCAGGTGTTGCTAAATTGAAATGATCTTCTTTCTCACTCTTTAAAATGTCAGACTCTTCTGCCAGGTAGTTCACACCACTCTTGCTAAAGACATCCTTCTCCTCTGCTTACTTTTTTTCCTCCAGAGTTGCTAGTGGTTCCAGGTCAAACTCTTCAGGAAGAAAGGACTGTCACCCACAGCAAACAGGTGTTTCTGTGTAGAAGCATATAAAGACATGAGTCAGCATGAGTGCATCGGTCTAGCGCAGAATTAACACTTATTAGTGTAATACAGCAATGAGTTCCTTTTTTAAAACTTTTAACTGTTGGTTGATTTGCATTACAGTTGGTGTAAAATGAATCTTTTGTGGAATTATGTCACCTGGACAAGTATCTATTTCATGGAACACATCAACTTTTGAGAAGGCATTGAAAAAAAATTAGTTTTGTTTTCCTATTTTGTAGGAATAGTGATTGAATACTATCTTAAATTCTGATTTTAATCATTCTTTCACCTTTTCAAGTAGTTTCTGTTGACAGGTTCAGTGCTTTTCCTGTTTTAACTTCTAGCTTATTTTTGTCACTAACGTGAGATGGCCGTATTTTCTGTCTTTAGGTGTGAAGTTCTTTGTTTATGTGTGCAGATAACTTAATTTAAATTCTCTGAGATACAGTTTTAATTCATTTTTGTCCTTAGAGAAGCCTTTAATTTTGATTTCTTTTTCATCAATTTGAAAATCATTACATTAAAAATTATTGAATGGATTTTCTTTGGGTTTTGGTTATGTGTTTTTACACATGATACATTTATCTCTGTGAGGAGTTAAAGGTGTCATGAGTGTCCCAGTCAACTACATCACCTCTTTGAAAATATTTGAAAAATGTCAGTAATGAGGGAAATGTGTTGCTACAGAACTTGTTATCCACCAACAAACAAAAATTACATGAAAGTAGGATGTTGTCTTGCACAAAGCAAGGAATGGTGTGCATAAAGATGGGTAGCCAAATATTTTTACTATGATAATGTAGACCTTTCCATGGGGTTATGGTACATTGTTATGGAAGGAAGTAAATATAACACATAGCTAATTGGGCATGATATATAAATTCTTCATAAAGTGGGTTTTTTCCTGCCTGGAGGAGATGCCTCTATTTTCACATACACGTAACTTTGTTACAACAGAATAAATTGCACAGGTCAGAAAATGATCACACTGAAGTTTTTGGGCTTTTTGATTGTGTATCAGCTGCTTGAGGTACTAGAGGATGAAGAGGGTTGGAACTAGATGGTCTTTAAGGTCCCTTCCAACCCAAACCATTCTGTGATTCTGTGATGCATTTCTCATGGTTTGTCACACAACTTGGAGCTCTACTGACTTGACAGGTAATAGCCCAATTGGGGCTGGTATTGAGGGCAAGCCAAAATGTTGTAATGAATCTTGCAAGTGCTGCTGTCTTTAAAAAATGTTGTGTATGTTGATTAAAGCTTTACTTGCAGGAAGAAGAGGAATCTACTTCCAAGAACCAGAGAAATTACTGGCTTCAGGACTGTGTGTTGTCCTTGTCACCAACAAATGACCTGATGGTAATAGCTAACGAACAGAAAGCAGTTTTTTTAGTGCGTAAGTATACATTCTACTCAGTGTGTATATACTAATACATTTAATAGTAATCAGGCTGAGATTGTGGTGTTGTCCCCCACCTTGCCCCACCTGCTTATCCCCAAGTCACACCTTCAGGAATTTTGGAGTGGTTTATAGTACGCACCATGCATATTCTAGGTATTGCTTGGCAGGTAAGTTGGTTTGTCTTTACTTCTCAGCTCTATTTTGGTCTGAGAAACCTATTTTATGGTGAATAATTTAATATAATATATACTATAACTACCTAGTTGTTTGAGATGCTCAGAGATAGTGACATTAATTGTGCTCAATAAGCAAACCAAAATATTTGTATGAATTTTAGCTATTAAGAAATATTTGACCTTAGTTTCATTTTCCCTTGAAAAAAGTGAGCTAGCTGAGCCACCATCTCTTGGAGGAGGGAGTATTGTGCTAGACTGTTCTTTAAGATTTCCATCTTTGGTAGAATATATTTCACTCTAAAGTAGTGTGCTAAGAACTCTTTTAAAGGTTCCCTTAGTAATACTGAGCGCTGGTCAGTCAGCTGCTGCTACATGTGTGCTGTTGCCTAGGGTGCTGGTGCTATTAGCAGCTGCAGTTGGTGGCACGTGAGCGTGATGAGGGGAAACCTCCTGAAATGGGGAATATTACACCATTTTAAAGCAAAAACAGGCTGTTGAAGCTCAGAGTTACATAAGTAAGCAGATTGCATTGAGTTGTCACGCTGCATGTGTCATTCCCTGTGAAGTTGTGTGTTCCAAAGCTGATGTAGGTTAGTCACTAATTTTTCACAGAAAAGGAAAAGATAGGAATATTCCTCAGAAAGTTCCTATTGGATCAATAATAAGGAGATTACTTAGCTCACCTGCTGGAGAACCACTTCTGCTGAAGTGCACAGTGGCAACTTACCACACATGGCTGAGGTGGCCCTGTGTCTCAGTTTTTGTGTCAGGCAAACGGCAGAGAACACTGAATTTATGTATTTAATTGTCCATTGACATCTGGGACGTGATTTTCCAATCAAATGTCATCTGTAACAGCACCCTGTGAATAACAAAGTATAGTGTTTTCTGACCCTGATTATGATGGGATGATTAAAAATTGTCAGATTTAATGTAGGATTTCCATGTCTGTCTTGGGGGTTAAATTTAAGGTTTTCTGGTTTTTAAGCTTATCTTCAGTAACCATCCCAGAAGAAGTTTGCCCTTGCTTAGTACTTGTTTCCTAAGGATCCCTGTTTATTGAACCTTTTGAAATCTGGTGAAGTAGATAATACTGTATAAATATTTTTAAATGAATCTAGGTATTTTAGAATTTCAGTAGTATGTCTTCCATGTAAATTTCTAAGAAAATGTGGGAGTATGGCGTTCAAGGTTTGTAACTGGTATTTAATCTAAGTGTGGTAGGATGTGTTGTACAGAAGAGAAGGATTAGGAATAGAACTACGTCTGTGAGACGCAAGACATTACAGTTCTATAGATGGTGTCTTTGTTCTCGATGGCAGCTAAATGGAAGCAGAGTGACAAGGGAAAGGAGGAAATGCAGTATGCGGTCGGCTGGAGTGGCTCTCTGAATGTTGAAGAAGGGTAGGTGTTGAAATGCAACTGTGATTAAAATGGCATTTTCATGGTTAATAATTAGCAGCATATGCTGCTTACTTTTTTTTGCTTTCATCCAGGTGCTCCATGGTCTTACGCATTTTCATGTTGAAAATAGAAATGAAGTAACCTGGGTGATGAGAAATGTTGCCTGTGAAGGTCACTCTTCATGCATAGGGCGATATCTCAGGACAAGTTCATACAAATTAACTGTGTGTTTGCATATAATGTAGGCATTTAATGGATCTGAGTTATCATGCTTCTTTTAAGTTCTTGTTCCAGAGGGGGAAAAAAGTAGGATATGTACCCTTTTTGACAAATCTACTTTTCTAATAGGGGTGAAATATTGTGAGGGGCTGTTGCAACTGGAATTGTATGAAGTTGTTCTAGAAATACTTTTTTGATTTTGAGAACCTCAAACAAATATAAAGTCATCTCTCTGATCAGAAGTCACTCCAAATGACAAGCAGTGAGCAACATTCATGTGATAGAAAAAGTGTTCTTCTTTTGAGGTGCAGTGAACTTCAGCTGTGCTTTACATTTTTCTTTACCTCTGTAATTACCCTCTCTCATGTTTCAGTCACTTTTAGAAATGGTTTTGGGCTCCAAGTCATTTAGCAGACTTGGAAAATTTGCTTGGGTCATACATTTGCTATTTACACAATATTTCTGCCCGATCTGTCTTCAGATGACCAGACAGACTCTTTCTCGACTACCCCATATGGGAGAGGATTTTGCATTCCGTTACTAAGTTTGCAGCCTTGAGTTGCTGTCTGCCTTTGAAGCCAATAGGGAGTGATGTTCAACCTTCTGTTATGCTGCAGGAGGTGTTGACTTAATCGCCTCTCTCCAGTCTGCTAAAACCAATCCTTTTCTATAAACCTGCTGCTGCCACACATTTCAACTGGTTTATGTGCATCTCTAAGTTTGGTGTGGTTTTTTTCCCCCATACTACCACTGAAATTACCCCGTCATAGTTTATTTAAAAAAGGAAAACAAATTCTGTCTGGGGGTTGGTTTCTTACAACTGTTACAGCCCCAAGAGACGCTGTTGTACAGAACAGGTAGCTTTCTCTGCATAGACACAGTTGTATTCGCTACGTCTTGGTTTAAGGCTTGTGAGTGTGTCCTGTAGGTGAGGGTTCTATTTCTGTGGAAGTGTAAATATGGCAAGTACTCTCAGATTGTGGAAAGTGTTTTTTTTTTTTCCCCCAAAGTTGGCTTCAACTGATAACGTTCTGTGGTGGCTAAGCTTTGCTATGGGAAGACAAGATTTCACTGAGATATTTAACATCACTTTGAAGTTGTAATTGAATTGCAACTCATGTCAAACATGCATTTAGAAAGCTATTTTTCTGTAATTGTCTAGCCTGATCATTTAATCACTCCTTGGGGAATGGAGGTGACCTGAAATGCAAAAAATCAACAGTACTGCAGGCGTTTGTGCTTTAAGTGCTATGTGGGATGTCGTCTTGAATTTATATGCTCTTTCATAAAACCTTTGTACTGCTTCTGTTTCCCCAGACAGTGTAAAACTTTCTCTCGTGGTAACAGTTAAATAACTTTTCATTTGAGATATTGAGGCCTGCTCTTCTGCTTGCCTTCTGCATGCTTTGCTTGCCATGCATTGAGCATGCTCAGCTATGGCGTTAACTGGGAAGACCATGTTAGCTCTTCAGATGCTTTCAGAGTATAAAGTGGTGAAATGCAGTGGATATAAAATCTACCTAAGTGCACAATGTATTTAAAAAAATTATTTTGATATGTATAGTTCAAGGGTGGTGTTTTGTTTTGTTTTTGGTTTTTTTTTTTAAAGTGGTTGTTCTTGGTATATCAGTATAGATGAGAAAATAATTATTTACCGGTAGGTACGTGAGATTTAACTTGAATCTTTACCGAAGAGTGCTGGCAGAATAATCAGTCTGTGAATGATGAAAGACAGCATTGATGAGGTGTGAGAAGCATGCATGCAATCTGTTTGGGCACTCTTGAACTTGCAATTGAAAATGTCTTTTAAATGAAAGGATGTTTCTTTTTAGTATGAATTCAACACATTAACAATATATTAATACAGCACACTATTAAAATGCTGACTCAGCAAGATATATTGTGTACAGCGAAATGGAGGAAAAAATGCTTATTAGTTTTATCTTTCTGTTTCTAGAGAATGTGTGAGTAGTGTATTATGTATACCACTGGCAAGTCAGAAGAGGTAAGGAATGAAATTCTTATGTATATGATCATCAGTCTCCTTACACTGCACTTAAGTATGCCTGTGGCTCAGAGCAGGATTTGGTTTTACCTTTTGCTGTATCTTTGTGAAACAGGAGTTCCACCGGCCGTCCTGACTGGACCTGCATTGTTGTTGGCTTCACCTCCGGCTACGTTCGTTTCTACACCGAGGTACGCTTCTCAGCGGGCCCCCGAGCAAGCTCCTGTAATAAACGTCTGTTTCGAGAAAGCTTCTGTTTCTGCAGATAGTGCTTTTTGCTGTCCCTAAGAAAAGGGGCAGGCATATTGATGCTTTTTTTCCTTTCTCTTCTAGAGTGGAGTACTCCTTCTTGCACAGCTTTTAAATGAAGATCCTGTCCTACAGCTTAAGTGCAGAACCTACGAAATTCCCAGGCATCCTGGTGTCACAGAACAGGTTTTGTCAGATTATTTCAAAAGCGAAGTGGCAGTGTTATGGGGTATGGAAGGGAGTCTTCTCTGTGAATCCTCTATGTCCTTTACCAGTTTTTGATGGGTGGACAGTTTCCTTAGAACAAGAGACTCTGGATTTCTTGTTCTAGAAGTATTCATGCCTGTACAGTTTGAGGATTCAGGATTTATTTTTATTTTTCAGACCTACTTAGTTAGCTCTATAGATTTGTTCAACTTTTCTGTGTGGTAACCTTGCAAAGGAAGGCTTCATTCATTTCCTGTTTATTCATTAATGTGCACAAAATAAAGTAAGTATGGATGAAAGGAGAAAATGCAACTTGCCAGGTGCCAAGATCTATGTGCACTCATTCATAAGAACTTACCTTAATTATTCACGGACAAGATAGCTGAAAATTAAAACTATCTTTGCAGAAGATAGTTCTAGTTCTAGGAACCTGCATGTCATTATGAGTACTGCCTGCAGAGAAGGCTCTTGTGGAGCTCCAGCTATTTCGGAGCGAAGCCAGCTTGCTTTGCTCTTGGCTGAGTTGGCATGCTTTATACAGAAAGCTAATGAAGTTACAGAGATTTCCAAGTTTGCTTTATACAAATGCTCATGTGATTTAACATGACATTTTGGGATCAGTTTTGAAATACAAAGGCATTAAGGAATTTGAGTCTTGAATTTATATCACCAAATTAACATTTATGGGCCCAAGTGATAATTTAGACGCTAATCCAGTTTCAGAATTTGGCTCATAAAACCTTGATACTTGCATTCTAGAAAAAACTGATTTTTCTGTGGCCTTCACAAGCTGCTGTAACTTTTGTGTTTTCTCCCTAAGCCATAAAACATATTAAGCAAGCATAAAAGTCACTGAAAGAAAATGAAAAGATCAAAATTATGTGCCTAAATAAATTACTTCTTCATATATTGGATGGTTTGATACTGAATTTCTGTAATGTTGCCTTATTTTGTTGCTTGGGGCTTATTAGATATTAATTGTCTGGATGTAATCCTTGTCTTTGTGTAGTTAATAATATAAAAAGTTAGAAAAGAAGCTGTTACATCAATAACAGTTTTGTGTTGTTTTTTTTTTTTTGTCTCCATTCTCCCATTTTCTTCCGCAGAATGAAGAATTAAGTATATTGTACCCAGCAGCAATTGTGACAATTGATGGTTTCAGCCTCTTTCAGTCCCTTCGTGCGTGTCGCAATCAGGTAGCAAGAGGTATGTTTGGGAGGAAATGCTTATTTCTGGCTCTGTTAACACTACTGTGCATTACGTGACATTTACTTACGTTTGTTAAATATCAAATCAAGGTGGAATTTGGATCTTTCTCGCTTGTCCATCAATATATAGGCATCTACTGCATACAGGAAAGTTTCTTCCTCTACTGAAAATGTTCTTGGATCACAAGTTGTCACGGTAGCATTGACTGTCTTGTACATTCTTACCCCAATACTGTACACTGGTTTTGGCTGGGATAGAGTTAATTTTCTTCATAGTAGCTGGTATGGTGATATGGTTTAGGTTTTTGGTGGAAACAGTGTTGACAACACACCAGTGTTTTTGCTATTGCTGAACAGTGCTCACACAGCCTTTTTTGTTTCTCTGCCTCACCAGTGAGCAAGCTGGGGGTGCAGAAGAAATTGGGAGGGGGCGCAGCTGGAACAGCTGACCCCAACTGACCAAAGGGCTGTCCTGTACCATATGATGTCGTGCCCAGTGGTAAAGTCTGGGGAGGACATTTGGAGTTACGGTGTTTGATGCTTTATAAGGGCCTGCTTTCCTGGAAATGGCTAAATGCTTGGCCTGCTGGTGGGAAGTAGCAAATGAATTAATTATTTTGCTTTGATTGCACGTGGAGCTTTTGCTTTACCTGTTGAACTGTCTGTTTCAGCCCACAAGTTTTTTTACTTTTTGGATTCTCTTCCCTGTTTCCCTAGCAGAGAGTGAGCGAGCGGCTTTGTGGTGCTTAAGTGCCACTGAGGTTAACCCACAGCATGCTGCTGAGGGGCTGCTGATTTCACTGACTGTCACTGAATGGCTTTTCTTGCCAGCAAGGACTTTTTGGGAAGGGATAATGCTGTAATTGGTAATGGTCACTGCTCTTTGTGTTAATGCCTGAGGAGAGCTTTTGATACCTTGTTTGACTGTACAGCATTTGATCGTGTTGCTTTAGTGTAGTGCCTGTTTATACTCTCATTTGGAAACAGGGTCAGTTTTCTGGGGTGAGAGGAGAACTATGTAACAGCGTTGTGTGGTAGATCGCACAAGTGTGGCGCTGTTACAGTTCTGCAAGGTCAAATGATAAATGGGTGCTGTTGCTGCATTCTTCTGAATTTCCCAGTGGTGGTCCTCACTGAACTTCAGATTTGTCAGATTCTTGTTTCCTTGACAGCAGGCCACATCAGCAGACAATCGTGAGGCTGGGGGTAGGTGGGAAGCACAGTGACCATCACTATGAACTGTTGGGACAGCAGCATCCTTAAACTAAAGCTTGAGTCTTACATACAAGGGATGAGAGGTAACGAGCTGAGAAATGCTGCTGTGATGAGACAGTTCTGTGAATCATATGGAGATGGCTAATAGGAACAGATTGCTCACTCCTTCTTCCAGTTCAGGATGAAGTGACATGAAATTAAGATAGGTGATAGTAAATTCAGAATAAAAAGTAGATGGGTGTTTGTGCAGTGTGAGGTTAAATTGTGGAATTCTTTGCTTGAGGTTGATGTGCATGCTAAAAGTTTGCTTGGGCTCAGAGGGAAACTCGCAGATCAGTGGAGAAGAAAGCTGTGGAGGTTTACTGAGCTTGGAGCTTACCTCTGGCTGAGGAGGTCTCTTTAGAAGCTGGTTTACAGGAAGCATCAGATACGTGTCCTTCTAATATTCTTGCCTAGACATGTGGTGTTAGCTGTGCTCACATCCTGATCTGTGCTAAGTGATTCCCTGGGTCTGTCTCATAGTGTCTGCTCTTGCCCCTTCATGGAAATGTAGCGTTTCCATGCAGTATAAGAGAAGGCAAAACTCTTGTAAATCAGAACTTTAAAAACTGGTGTGAATCATGCAACAACTAAGAAAGAAGAGACAGAGTATCATGAGAAATATCCATCTACTTTCAGAACCAGAACATGCTGTGCTCTTTCAGGGAGAGAAGATCCCCATTTGCAGAGAAGCACTTACAGCTAGGTGTCATACCTGCAGCCAGAGTGCTATGTCTTCTTTCATTCTTGGTCATTTATGTTTGTTGTAATAGATATTTTGAAGAGTTTCAGCCATTGCTTTAGTTTTACCACTGTTCGTACCCCACACTGTTACATACCTACTGAATGTGCTGATTTTACAAGTACTTTGGCAGGAAAGTGTCCACTTAAACATGCCCAGACCTCAGAAATAAATTGCAGTAGCATTTAACAATTGTACAGAACATTAAACCATAAGTGACTAGTAAAATAAAGCTCTCTGTAAGTACATAATATAGTTGTGATAGAACATAATCTGCGATTTTATTCATTAATTTAAAAGAAATGTTTTAATTTCATATAGGTATGTGTCTCAAAAGGCCACTTTAGCTCAATGTTTAGGTGTATGTTAATTTAAGCCTAGGTTATTGTGTGGCTTCAGATTGCATCATTTTTTTCCTTCCTCTGTTATGCCATTGCTTTCACTCAGTAGGAATTTCTTTTGTGTTTTATCAACTTTTGTCAGCTGCAGCATCTGGCAATGAGAACGTTCAGCCCCCACCATTAGCTTATAAGAAATGGGGTTTGCAAGATGTGGATACGATTGTTGACCATGCTAGTATTGGTAAGGATTTCTGTTTAATTTCAAATATTTGGCTTAAATGAAACTGGTTTCATGCTGCTAAACGTGGGGTGGGAGCACTTAGTGGTACTAGCTGGATAGAAATAGATAGTGGGAGAAGGCTGTTGTAGTGAGTTAACTGATTGAGCCTCCCCTCTCTGCCTGAGGGGAGAACAGCTGTAGCTGTCTTGTCCTCTTGTGTGGTAAGAAACAGCCAAGAGAGACTAGATCTGATGCAGTTATTCCCATTTCTGCCAGGTTAAAGAACTGCCTGGCAGGCAGGTTGAGACTGGCGTGGGTCTTTCCTCACTCTGGCACATAAAGAAACTAAAATCTGACGTTGTTCCTTTCCAAAAAAGACACGCTGACTTCTAGGCTCTCGATAGCTTTTATTGCTTAGGAATTTGCAGAAGCCCAGGTTCTTGTCAGACAGACAGGTCTGAGGGGCAGTAAGCTTAATTTCCCTTCCACCCTTTTCACAAAAGCAGGCAAGAGGTCAGACAGGGGCTAACGAGACAGGTGAAGTGAATTTGGTAGGTGTGTTATTTCTGCTGAACTCTGCTTTTTCTTCTAAACAACTAGGATTTATAATTAGCCTAACTGCATTTGGTTATTTCTGCTGTGTTCTTTGGAATTTCTGTGGTTAAAGCTGCTCTGCCTCCCTTCCCTCTGAATGTTGGCTGGTCAGTCAAGAAGGCAGAAATGTATTTAGACTTTTAGAGCCATTGCATACCTTTGATCTGAAAGTCTGAGACGTTGACTGTACTGTTTTTGTTAGGCATCATGACGCTGTCTCCTTTCGATCAAATGAAGACTGCCTCCAATATAGGCGGATATAACGCAGCTATAAAAAACAGCCCACCTGCTATGTCTCAGTATGTTACTGTTGGATCCAATCCTTTCACTGGTTTCTTTTTTGCCCTGGAGGTATGTACTACAAAGCTGACTTGCCTAAACTTGAATAACCCTTCTCTTTTCTGTATGGGTGTCTCTGAAGTATTCCTATGTTCATTTTATGCTGACATTTCACCCTTTTCTTGATCTTCTGAAACTGGAATGATCTGGAGTAAATATGATAGTAATGTCGAGATCCTGCTAATAAAAAATAAATTTTCTCATCGTAAAATGAATGCCATAGTCAAGTGTGTTGGGTTTTTTTTTTTAGTTGATAATTTACTGCCAATTAAGTAATGTAAGGTTTTTTTAAAAACTTAGGTTGAGATTGTATAAACATGCATCTTGGGGATTTTTGGAGGCCTGTGGCCTTTGCTCATGTACACATACGGCCTGAGTATGCTGTGGTGATTTCATAAAGTGGAACTAACCTGTAGAAGAAAACTGCAACTTACGCTTAGTAATACCTGTAGCACACTTCTGTCGTCTTCTGCTGTATGGGAAGAGAAGGATGGCAATGTAGCTGTGTCTTGTACGTTCAGACCCTATGTGTGTGCTGTCCTTGTCAGGATATGTTAGAAAATGCTAGAATTGGACTTCTGGTTTTGTACCTTCCTTTCCAATATGTTTATGAAAAAGCTGCGTACGTTGATATTTGCAAGGATGCCGAAGCCGTGCACCAGCTAACTCTCCATGATAAATCACACACAGGGTTTTTTTAACTTCTGTTGCAGACAAACATACTGAGCTACCAGTGGCTTGCAGGAGGATTTTGAAATGGTAAAGAGATGTCAGAATGGCTTTTCTTGGGTCAGTGAATTAAAATTTTAAGAGTCTTAAAGCTATGCTTTCTGAGATGAAAGTCCATAGGAGGCCTGAAAAACTGTTCTGCAGTTGAGTTCAGTGTAAGAATTATTTCTTGGCTTTCTAAACACTTTGTTCCTTCATTTCAGGGTGTCTCACAGCTGAATATTCATTGACTTTCTAAACACTTTGTTCCTTTCTTTCAGGGTAGCTCGCAGCCACTGTTGTCTCATGTTGCCTTAGCGGTTGCAAGTAAACTGACTTCAGCATTATTTAATGCTGCCAGGTAATAACAAAAGATATTACATTAAATGAATTTTTGGTTTAGTAGCTACATAATAATTTGAGGATTTTTAGGACCATTAGTGTGATTCTCCTAATGTGTTTTTCTATTGCAAGTGGCTGGCTTGGTTGGAAGAGTAAACATGAAGAAGAACCTGTCCAAAAACAGAAACCAAAAGTAGAACCTGCTACCCCATTGGCAGTGAGGTAAGTTTTACATATTGTCTCAGTTGCTTTAAATCTTGTGTTTTCAATAGTCTGAATTATGTTGAAAGGTGCATAATTGATGAATGCATTTATTTTTCTTGACTTGACGCTTTAATGATAGTTTGCAGGTTATTTGTTTTTAAGCTTTGTTTCATTTCACTTCATCATTCTGATGAATTCCTCATCTCTTTCAGCATGTGGGTTCATTGTTACTGTAAAAGAACAGCTTGCACAGTTTAGTGACAGTGTAACTACGTGAATATCAGTCCTCAGGTTTATCTGAAGAGCTTTGAAGAAGCTGCATGAAGTGCTTGCTGCTTAGGATAGTTTAAAGACCCTCACAAAAATCAGGAGGTACCCTGTTTTCCCTGTTAATTGTGGAGAGAGGAGAACGGGAACAAGAGGATGTAGCCTAATGTTTTCAAGAAGGCTGATAAAAGACTCAATTCCTGATTGTTTTTCCTGATGTTTTTTCAACTATTCTCAAGACTGGTCTGCAGTCAGAGAGGGCTTACAAAGTAACCCACTGCTCTAAGATCCTTGCCTGACAATGTTTGCCAAGGCAATTGCTTATCCCAGTTTCTGCACTTTGGTTTTCAGTAGGACTTTGACAGACCGACCTATGAGATCTCCTATGAGAGCACAAAAACTTTTCTCATACTTTGCTCTGAATGTTACCAATACCTTTATGTTACCTTAAAACCCAGAAATCTTAGTCCATATGAGATACTTTGTTTACTGTTCTTTGAAGAAAATAATAGTTTTGCTTTATTTTTTAGATTTGGACTTCCAGATTCCCGTCGCCATGGTGAAAGAATATGTCTTTCTCCGTGTAACACTTTGGCAGCAGTGACAGATGATTTTGGAAGGGTTATTTTGCTGGATGTTACAAGAGGACTCGCAGTTCGCATGTGGAAAGGTATCACCGTGCATATTAATACAGCAGATAATACTCTTCAAAATACTGTGGTTTCTTATGTTCAGACTTAGAATTCAAAGTGGTTTTCCACTGTTAAGAAAGACTTCAGTACGCTGTGTTATTACATACCAAATATTAAAGGCAGATGTAATATAAAGTCCATAAGGGTATTGTTGTACCAATCCCTGAAATACTGCTACAGCCTATAGTAAAGATTTGGTCTGTTTGATTTGTATTGTACAATTGTTTTCCCCTGCCCCCAGCCATATCCCAACAGAAAGATTTTGACCTAATTTTTTTTTTTCCTGAAGAATTTTAGCTTTATTCTCCAAGATTTTCTCGTAATCTCTAGTATCTTCTTTAATTCTGCTGAGAAAATAAACAGAAGTTTGAAAAAAGAAAGACTTCAGTACGCTGTGTTATTACATACCAAATATTACAGGCAGATGTAATATAAAGTCCATAAGGGTATTGTTGTACCAATCCCAATTTGAAAAATCAGTAAGAAGATACACAAGTCATTAGGTTCTCATTTCATCATGGTGATGACTGCACAAGAAGGGAGTGTTCAGTCACTTCTAACCTGAGGGCTTTTTGAAAAAAATGCAGATACTAAGCTCTAAAATTGTAATTATACTTAGTATTTTAGCATCTCTTATTTTTTCTACAGAATTGAAATTTTGCAGCTTGTTAGGAGATGGAAGATGAGTTTTAAGAGCAAATAGAAAATCTCTAGCTCTTTCTCTCCCACGCTACCAGTTGAGAAGATTAGTGGTCATGAATGTAGTAGCTACTACTTAAGTGACATGCTAACACTGCAACAGCTAATCACGTTTCCTCTGCACATTCTCCTTCTCTCATGTTATGAAACTTAGTAGTTATGTGCTTTCTGATATTCTTGGACTTTTTTTTTTTCTTCGTTACTGAGACATTCATATTTTCTAGGAAGTACTGTTAGAGTCCTAAGCTTTATTTGGTAGTCAGACACACATTTACAATTTTCCAGCCTTTCCCAGTGAGGCTGTTGAAAAGTAAAATAGCATTTGGGGGTGTGGTTTTTTTTTTTTTTGGCAAAGCTGTCTACTGAATCAAGTCTTTTGGCTCGTGCCTTTCTCATCAATCGAGCTGTGAATACTTTTCAGCTTTCTCGGTACAATATGTCTTTTTATAAACTTGCTTTATACATTAGTATTTAACTTGTGGTTTGGAGTCTCCATTTGTACTTGCTTAAACCATTACATAGTTTAGTGATGTCTTTCGAGCATCTCTGCCTTTTTTTTGTTTAGGAATGTTTGATGAGAAAGTATTTGCAGTACCCAGAGAGAAAGGGAGTATTTTTAGTGAGTTACAAAAATTGCATTTTAATGATGAAAACATGTGAATAAAATCTTACATATCCTCTTCAATACATTGTGCAAACTTCCTCCTTTAAATCTTTTGTGGTTTGAAATGTGAGAAATCTGGACACTTACTACAGACCTTTCTTCTTTGAGAAGCTTTTGCATTGGTGTAATGTCCAGAGTACAGACCTGATGGGTGTTGGGTGATTTTTGTGGCTTCTCCCAGGAGAATTTGTTCCTCCCCAAAGCTTTGCAGGAGGCTGCATTTGGCTCTGAGGAGTCCTCTGATGGGCCCTGCTCTGAGCCGATGGACTGAAGTTCTTGACAGGAGTCGGGCTGCTGGCCAGAGCTGCACGGTTTGAAGCAGAGTTTAGACAGCTTGCTTCTGGGATAGTACTTGAGTGGGGTGATGTGTACCAATCATGTATTAATTGCTGTACGCTAATGAGCTTCTATCTTCTCTTACAAAGGATATCGTGATGCGGAAGTTGGTTGGATACAGACTGTAGAGGACCTTCATGAGAGGGAAACTGAGAAGATGGATTTTTCTCCTTTTGGAAACGCACAAGGTCCAAGCAGAGTGGCTCAGTTCCTTGTGATCTATGCTCCGAGAAGAGGCATTCTGGAAGTATGGAGCACGCAGCAAGGGCCTCGGGTTGGAGCCTTCAACGTGGGGAAGTATTGCAGGTGAGAAACAGGCAGCAAGTCGGTGCATTGACTGTGCTGCTGCAGTAAAGTGATATGTGGATATGCCAGTGGAAAAAATGAAAAGTGCTGACAGTCCCTTTTTGCGTTGCCCACAGTGTTTCTACTGAGTGCAGCTCGTTGTCTTGCAGGAGGGGATTTCCTCATGTTGCATCGCTCTACGGGCTTTCCTGATGAACACATTTAGCGTTTGTTAAACCTCAGCTGTATAAAATTGGATGTCTTTTTATTCAGTGTGTAGAAAGGGAAGGTTGCTAATTTTGTTCTTTGCTGTAAAGGCTGTGTGTTTTGTTGGTTTCAGATTGTTGTATCCTGGTTATAAAATAATGGGTCTAAACAATGTGACCAGTCAGGGATGGCAGCCCCAGACTCACCAGATATGCCTTGTTGATCCGGTCTCTGGAAGTGTAAAAACGGTCCATATACCCTTCCATTTAGCACTGAGGTAAGGACTTTGTGCTCTGTATAACCAAATGAATTTCATTATTGTCTTTTGGAAACAATGTTTTATTTAGAGAGAGCGAGTCTTCTCTAGCTGAACAGTGCTCTGGCAATAGTGTCATTGGTCTCTATGCATTAACTTGATTTTTATTAATGTGCTGTTACCTTAAGGTAGCATAAATAATTTAAAAAGATGGTTTTTTTGTCTGGATCGTCTACTTTAGTTCTCTTCACTCATCCAATTAAAATTATTTCCCTTCAGTGATAAAAAGAGTGAGCGAGCGAAGGATATGCATCTAGTGAAGAAGCTAAATGCTTTACTCAAAGCTAAAACCTCAGATCTGGGTAGGTTCCCTTGTATAATTTCTTAAGATTGTATGTTATCAAATGGTTCTTGTATTACCTGTGTTTGTGCACTCACAGGACAGGTATGATTGCAGTGTATTCTGACAGCTGTCGATTTTCACAGAATCACAGAATGGTTTGGGTTGGAAGGGCCCTTACAGACCATCTAGTTCCAGCCCCCCTGCCATGGGCAGGGACACCTTCCACTAGACCAGGTTGCTCAAAGCCTCATCCAGCCTGGCCTTGAACACTTCCAGGGATGGGGCATCCACAGCTGCTCTGGGCAACCAATCTTTAAGTATCTTTATGATCTTTAAGTAGCTTGTAATTTTTTCTGGCCTTGGCTGCCATGTAAATCTTGCCTGAACTGCACTGAGTGCTTGCATAAAACACGGTCTGTTTGCACCCCATTATGCTCTGTAATGGAGTTCAGCATTTTACTCTAGATTCCTTCTTCCTTTAAGTAATATGTGTCTCTTAGAAAAGGCAGATTTGGAATAAGGGATGTCACTAGGCTGTTCTTTTGTTTCATTTTCCCCAAGCTTATTTTAGCAACTTTTCTAATAGCATCTTCATCTGTATGGCATGAATCCATCCATATCTTAGCTGTGGTGTGGGTTGACTTACCTTTCCGAGTGCATTTGAGAAATATGAAATGAAGTCGTAATTGTCGTTGCAGATCTGATTGAAGCTGAAGCAAAGGAGTTGATCCTTGATATCAAATACCCTGCTACAAAGAAACAGGTGAATATTTAGAAGACAGTATACTTTGATTTGGTAACGCAGTGGGTTTTTTTTCTGATATTAGAGTGCTAAATCTTTTTAAACCTTTCAAAAAATATTATTTTTACCTACACTTAATTGAAGTGAACAATTGAGCCATTTCAGTGGGTTTTCTTGGTGTTTGGGTTTTTTTAACCAACACATTGACTGGAATTAATTTGACTTGTGACTTCCCCAAGGCATTTTCCATTGTAAAAGTCAAAATAATAAAAAGAGAGCAGACCTTTCCATAGGATCAGATTACGCCACAGGTACATGTGAAGACAAAATACGGATGAAAAATCATTGTCAGAGTTGTGCTTTGTTAGCTTATCTTATGTTTTTACAATAAAATGAAGTAAATGTTTAATTCTGTTGAACATCTGCTTAACAGGCTCTGGAAAGTATATTGACAAGTGAACGTGTGCCACTTTCGTCTCTCACAAACATCACTCAGACATTAATGGATAATTTAAAGAAACAGGGTAGGTGGATATTTATTTTGCAAATATGGAGAGGCAATTGCACTTTTTCTGTGGTGCTGTAGAACTACTCTGGGCCACAAGGAGACCAGATCTGATCTGCTTAGCTTTGCTGCTAGATAGCACGGGATGTTCCTTCTATGCATTTTCTTTTTTTAATGCAGACTGCAAGTAGCTTGCTAGTAGATAACGTTTTGCTGTGCTTGCTGTGTGCCTAGTAAATCCTGGTTTTATTCAAAAAGGGAAAAAAATCCCAGTGACTGGGCTGGGTACTTGCATCCAGTAAAAGCTTCCTTCAGAAAGAAGCTTTCTTAGATTTCCCCCTACCCCCACGCCCCCCACC